CCCCTTACGTAATCCCCCCATTACCATGGATCCAGGGCATTTTAATAATAGTTGTGAACTCAGATAGAAGATATAGGGAAGTATGAGACCGAGGTCTGTCGCCTTTTGCACCCTGTCGTGTAAATATAGCCTACAGTCTCCAGCGTGGAGGAAACATGCGACATTCCGCCAGAGTCACCTCTGACCCGCGACAGTCTGTGGAGAGAGGGAGAGGGAGGAGAGGGAGGAGGGGGAGGGAGGTGTGCGAAGGTGATTCGAGGAGACAGCCTCACCCTTCCTTCATCATTTCCTTAATTGCTGAGTAGATCTTAGTCTGCCCACAGAGGTTGTCATAAAGCTTAATGATATGAGATTCTAAGGATCATAGCAGGAATCAAACTCATGTAAGTTACATGAGCAGCCTATGTGATCTTCAAAGAGAAAAGATGATGAATGCTTTTCCCGAAAGAAAGCAGAGCTAACTTTTGGCTTAAATTAGTGGTTGTTCATAATGTGGTGATCACCAGCTGGAGGGCAAGTCTCACCTGCTCCGTTTAAAGTCACAGAAACTCGCATCGGTGCACAGTTGTTAAAAACACGACCTGTATGAGCGAGCACGAGTGACCATCCTCCTCCTCTCCTCCTCTCCTCTCCTCCTCCCCAGAGAGAGAGAGAGGGAGAGGGAGAGAGAGAGAGAGAGAGAGAGAGAGAGAGAGGGAGAGAGAGAGAGCAGCTAGTGGAGTGGGGTTTCCTCAGGTGTTTGGCTCCAGTCATGGCCGGGAGCTCAGAGAAAGTACCGATCGCCGCGGCGGGACCAGAGGACCTGCAGCAGTTTATGCCTCCGGTGAGTGTTAATAGAGACCGGTGCAGCTTAACGCCTCATAAAGCTACGGTTTGTGTGTGTGTGAGTGTGTGTGTGTGTCTGTGGAAAGGGGGGGCCAGGGCTAAAACATCCAAGACTGTGTCTGTTTCTTGACCTTTCAAACAACCAACAACCCTCTCTGTAACTTCTGCCTCTGTTCAGCGGGCTCACATCACACAATAAGGTTATCAGGGTTGGTTTTCCAGTGTATGGCCATGTTGTCATGTTGGAGTGTGTTTGTTTTACCTTATAGGCCTACTCCTCCGTGGCGGTCAAGCCCGCCGCCACCGGCCGCCTCCTGAAGGCCGGGATCGCGGTGCTCATCGCCGGGGCCCTGCTGCTTCTGCTGGGGGCAGTTGGTGCTTTCTACTTCTGGAACAACAATGAAAAACACGTAAGAATAAGATCTTTTCTTTTGATGTTATCCCTTACATCTAACTTCATGTTGGTACGTTTGTGCTTATAGCTTAAGGGACTGTACAAAAATTATTTGTGTTTTGTTTTTTTTTGCCTCTGGGGGGCGAGGGCGGGGGAAGTGGAGGGGTGGGGGGCTTTCTTGGAAATCAGCCAAAGCTCCTTTTAGCTTTTCTTCTTCTACTTGTTTATTTTATCATCCCTTTGCATAGTTAACCGAAAAGTTACATAAATAGTTAAATCAACATCACTGACTTGCACCATGGACCAGGGTTCATTGAGGTGCACGTCGCCACATGCAGAGGAAACTGTTCCACATTAGAAGTTCCAATAAGATATAAAGTTTTAAATCAAGGCACATGATTTAAACCAGTTGTACAAATGAAACGCTGTTGTATTAGTTTCGAAGAAAAACTGGTAAAAACCCGCTTGACTTTTTACAGTGGAACACGCCATTCAGCCCCTGTCACCACCCCAGAAAGTTTTACACAGCCCCTTAAGGCTTTCAATCGAAAATCAAATCAAAGTCGGTCTGATCTGCTAGATAATTCCCTCTTTTCTCAAAGCAGTTTTCTCTTCTTTCAAAACTTTTCTGAAATAAGTGGAACTACCGTAGAAGAAAACAGCTCTCATACTCAGACCCTATCAGAAATTATGTCACTTGATTGAAGAAATTGTTGAAACAAGCTCTTTTGAATTGGAAACATGTGAAATGATGTCGTCCAGTGGTGGATTTTTTTAACTTGTTTGAATTAAAGTGACTCAATAGACTGAAGCAGTTCACTTCAAGATGGATTTTTTTTTTTGCAGTGTAGGCAAACAGTAAAATGTAAATGAAACACTCCATTTTCATGGTAGGTAAATCTTGGTGAATGGAGTCCTTGTGTGTATGTGGTGTGTGTTGGAGGACCGTGGCGGGGTGGAGAGGGGTGGAGAGGGGTGGAGGTGATTGGGGGGTGGGGGGGCTCTCTGGTCCGGCTGATGCTCCAGGGGCAAGAGGTGTAAGAGATGAGAGGGAAAATGTGGCTTTCTGGTTGTTGTTTTTTTTCCAATATGAAGTTTGAAAATGCCATTAAGACACGATGAAGAGTGTGTGCAGAGGGGTCATCGTCACCCAGAGGTGCAAGGATTGTATTCTTCTAAACAAGCTTGAATGAATGTGTGTGTCTGAAAGAGAAAATGGAGAAAAGAGAGGTTGTACCGTGTGAGGAGAAGTCATGGGGTAAGATTGGAGAAGGAAGGAGAGGGAGGGAGAAAGGGAGAGGGCTGGGGGGGGGTGGGGTGACTCTCAGGACTCTCATACCTTACATGCCAGTCTGAAACCTTGTGTGTGTTTTGTGTGTGTGTGTGTGTGTGTGTGTGTGCACAGGTCTACAATGTCCACTACAGCATGAGCATCAATGGCAAAGTGGAGGAGGGTTCAATGGAGATCGACACGACCAATAACATGGAGAGATTCAGCACGGGCAGCGGGGCGGACGAGGCCGTGGAGGTCCACGACTTTGAGATTGTGAGTTGAACTGAAAATAAATAAATAAATAAATGAATATCAGGAGGGTCAGAAAAGCAGACTCACCGACAGAGTGAGCGGCTCTCTCCGAGCAGCCTGGACAGGAAGTTGATCAGACCCTTGTGGGGAGATTGGCTCACTGCAGCAGAGGACACATTAAAAACAAGTGGACATGTTATCATCCCCCTCTGGGCCAATCAGTGTCAAGATGCAGTGTCCCTGCAATTTTCATTAAATTCGGACTGGTGGGTTTTGACCTTTAATTAAAGCGCCCAATCAGGCCAATCAGGCTAGTGAAGCAGCAGTTCTGGCCTTTTAACAATTAAAATTTTGACCTTTAATCATATTGTCCCCGTGAGTGTAATTTTTTAAATCTTGAATACATGGCTAAAATTACAACCCCCACCCCCCCCCCCACCCCTCACCCCACCCCTCACCCCACGTTCAGTCAGACAGCTGTTAGCTGTGACGTTGCATGTGATGTGCAGATTGCAGAGGACAACACATCACCCAGAGAAGTTTGGAGTAATGAATTCCAGCTGTTTGTTTGACCTCTGCAGGGGATCACAGGGATTCGTTTTTCAGGAGGAGAGAAGTGCTACATCAAGACCCAGGTGAAGGCTCGTCTGCCTGACGTGGAGGCTCTCAACAAGGACTCCATGACATTCGATCTGGTGGGTTGGTCCGGTCCGTCTTTCTGTCCTGAGGAAGTGTGTTTTCTCCATGTGTGATCACCAATGGCCGGTTTCCACTGCAGGAACCTGAGAACCTTTTTACCATTAGGATGTTTTGGCATCTAATTAATTTGCTCTACTGTTGTAGTCGTCCTGATTGTGATGTGACGACACATCTGCGTGACCAGTCATTGTCGCCAGAGGGTGAAAGTACCAGGATTCAACATTCCCTCGTGAAACGTTCCCATATTTAAGTCCAGGAACTTGGTCCCAAAGCGGCTGGAGAACAGGAACCAGCGACAGTTCATTTCTGTTGTTGCGTTCCTGCAGTGGAAAAAGGTTTACAGGTGTCAGGTGTCAACATTTCATCCAGGGCCATCATCAGGTTCATGACCAAAACTAATGATCTTCTCTAATGATATCCAACTAATGATATTCTGTAGCCTCCTTTGTGTTTAGTGCTAATTAGCTAGTTGTATGCATGCTAACTGTCTAAACTAAGATGGTGAATATAGTACAAACACCTGCTAAACATCAGCATGTTAGCCTACTGGCAGTAACCTTTAGCTCGACTCGCTGCTGTGGCTAAGCAGGTATTTGCGTCTTTGATTAATTAGGTGTGGATTGGACAGTGAACACGTACCTTCAGGAGAGCAGCTGCAGTCACAGTAGATATGATGGATCACTGTAGTGGAAGAAACCCTTTAGTAAAGACTTGCACACACTGACCGGTGGCGTGTAACGAGAACAACTCATCTCCCCTTTATTAATGACTTGTTCACTTTCTAACAAACCATTAAATGGGAAGATACAAACGTTGGTAAGTCATTAATAAGGGGACAGTGTCAAAAAGACAATACAAATTAATGCCAGAGAAGGATGTAAATCAGGGGATGTTTCAAACCTGGCAACCCAAACGTTGTGCTTAAAAACCGCAGATTTATGAGGCAATAAATCTTTAATCAGCCCTCACTAAAGCCAGACGTAATAACTTATAAAATTTTCAGTTTTTTTCTTATTGATACTAAAACTTGTATCACTGCATCGTCTATTCTCTGCTGAGCGTTAAAGCTCCTGAGAGACGATGCTAATGTGTTTCTGTGATGTAGCACGATTCACCCAAACCAGCGATACACCAGGATACCGACACACACACACACACACACACACACACACACACACACACACACACACGGAGGACTACACTGCATATACAGTACCATGTGTGTGTGTGGATTGCTATCACAACTCACAAAAACCACCGCCTGTGATTGTTCAATTGAGGCTGTCTGATAATTAAAATCATTTAGTTCTGCATAAGCCTCACATCCACATAAATCCACATCAACAGAATTGCCCTCACGAACACGTGTGCGCACAAATACCAACACGCGCACACACACACACACNGGAGGGAGAAAGGGAGAGGGCTGGGGGGGGTGGGGTGACTCTCAGGACTCTCATACCTTACATGCCAGTCTGAAACCTTGTGTGTGTTTTGTGTGTGTGTGTGTGTGTGTGTGTGTGTGTGTGTGTGCACAGGTCTACAATGTCCACTACAGCATGAGCATCAATGGCAAAGTGGAGGAGGGTTCAATGGAGATCGACACGACCAATAACATGGAGAGATTCAGCACGGGCAGCGGGGCGGACGAGGCCGTGGAGGTCCACGACTTTGAGATTGTGAGTTGAACTGAAAATAAATAAATAAATAAATGAATATCAGGAGGGTCAGAAAAGCAGACTCACCGACAGAGTGAGCGGCTCTCTCCGAGCAGCCTGGACAGGAAGTTGATCAGACCCTTGTGGGGAGATTGGCTCACTGCAGCAGAGGACACATTAAAAACAAGTGGACATGTTATCATCCCCCTCTGGGCCAATCAGTGTCAAGATGCAGTGTCCCTGCAATTTTCATTAAATTCGGACTGGTGGGTTTTGACCTTTAATTAAAGCGCCCAATCAGGCCAATCAGGCTAGTGAAGCAGCAGTTCTGGCCTTTTAACAATTAAAATTTTGACCTTTAATCATATTGTCCCCGTGAGTGTAATTTTTTAAATCTTGAATACATGGCTAAAATTACAACCCCCACCCCCACCCCCACCCCTCACCCCCCCCCTAACCCCACGTTCAGTCAGACAGCTGTTAGCTGTGACGTTGCATGTGATGTGCAGATTGCAGAGGACAACACATCACCCAGAGAAGTTTGGAGTAATGAATTCCAGCTGTTTGTTTGACCTCTGCAGGGGATCACAGGGATTCGTTTTTCAGGAGGAGAGAAGTGCTACATCAAGACCCAGGTGAAGGCTCGTCTGCCTGACGTGGAGGCTCTCAACAAGGACTCCATGACATTCGATCTGGTGGGTTGGTCCGGTCCGTCTTTCTGTCCTGAGGAAGTGTGTTTTCTCCATGTGTGATCACCAATGGCCGGTTTCCACTGCAGGAACCTGAGAACCTTTTTACCATTAGGATGTTTTGGCATCTAATTAATTTGCTCTACTGTTGTAGTCGTCCTGATTGTGATGTGACGACACATCTGCGTGACCAGTCATTGTCGCCAGAGGGTGAAAGTACCAGGATTCAACATTCCCTCGTGAAACGTTCCCATATTTAAGTCCAGGAACTTGGTCCCAAAGCGGCTGGAGAACAGGAACCAGCGACAGTTCATTTCTGTTGTTGCGTTCCTGCAGTGGAAAAAGGTTTACAGGTGTCAGGTGTCAACATTTCATCCAGGGCCATCATCAGGTTCATGACCAAAACTAATGATCTTCTCTAATGATATCCAACTAATGATATTCTGTAGCCTCCTTTGTGTTTAGTGCTAATTAGCTAGTTGTATGCATGCTAACTGTCTAAACTAAGATGGTGAATATAGTACAAACACCTGCTAAACATCAGCATGTTAGCCTACTGGCAGTAACCTTTAGCTCGACTCGCTGCTGTGGCTAAGCAGGTATTTGCGTCTTTGATTAATTAGGTGTGGATTGGACAGTGAACACGTACCTTCAGGAGAGCAGCTGCAGTCACAGTAGATATGATGGATCACTGTAGTGGAAGAAACCCTTTAGTAAAGACTTGCACACACTGACCGGTGGCGTGTAACGAGAACAACTCATCTCCCCTTTATTAATGACTTGTTCACTTTCTAACAAACCATTAAATGGGAAGATACAAACGTTGGTAAGTCATTAATAAGGGGACAGTGTCAAAAAGACAATACAAATTAATGCCAGAGAAGGATGTAAATCAGGGGATGTTTCAAACCTGGCAACCCAAACGTTGTGCTTAAAAACCGCAGATTTATGAGGCAATAAATCTTTAATCAGCCCTCACTAAAGCCAGACGTAATAACTTATAAAATTTTCAGTTTTTTTCTTATTGATACTAAAACTTGTATCACTGCATCGTCTATTCTCTGCTGAGCGTTAAAGCTCCTGAGAGACGATGCTAATGTGTTTCTGTGATGTAGCACGATTCACCCAAACCAGCGATACACCAGGATACCGACACACACACACACACACACACACACACACACACACACACACACACACGGAGGACTACACTGCATATACAGTACCATGTGTGTGTGTGGATTGCTATCACAACTCACAAAAACCACCGCCTGTGATTGTTCAATTGAGGCTGTCTGATAATTAAAATCATTTAGTTCTGCATAAGCCTCACATCCACATAAATCCACATCAACAGAATTGCCCTCACGAACACGTGTGCGCACAAATACCAACACGCGCACACACACACACACGCACACACAAGCACTCACACACAAGCACACATTTAATTATCACGCCGGGCTGCTCTTATTGCCTCTCTCTGCCTCATAAACGATCATTTATTTCACGTCTGTGCTTTTGTGTGTGTTTGTGCTATTGCCTCTTTTTGCCTCATAAATGATCGTCTGGTTCACGTTTGTGTGTGTGTGTGTGTGTGTGTGTGTGTGTGTGTGTGTGTGTGTGTGTGTGTGTGTGGAGACAGGAAGATGTTGTTATAATGGTTGCTGCAGGCTGGTCATTTGCTATAATTTAGAGTGATGGCAAATATGGGTTAGATAAGCGCGCACACACACACACACACACACACACACACACACACACACACACACTCGTCCCCATCCGGAGAGAGTGGGTCAGATAAACTCTTATCAGTCGAGCAGTGGAGAAGGACCCCCGCTTTTATTTGTCCCTCCAGCAAATCATTTGAGCTGGAAAAAAAAAAAAAAAAAAAAAAACAGCAGCAGCATCATTGAAAGGTTGGAGGAGAACATTCCCTCAACATGTCTGTGGCTAGTGCAGAGCAGCCCTCAGGAACAAACGCCTCTGGGCAAAACCATCCCCGCAGAATTCCCCTTCTACCTGCAGGCTGTGGAAACAGAGTACGTGCTGTGTGTTTACACAGCCGCTCCTCTGGAAACCTCATTAGCTGATCTGCAGGAACCTGTACATTTAGGCCATCCAATCTCCCCCTCCCTTCAGATGCTGATGAGTCCTGACATTGTGTATACAGCTAAATGTTGGCGCAAAGGGAAAATGTATGCTACAGCCTCAAGGACTTCCTTTTTACTGCTTGATTTTATGTTGTTAAGGAGCATTAACAGCACAACATTAATGCAGATTAGATTCGGACAGAATGCAGGGAGTGTGGGATATTTAAAGGGGACGGACAAGACTCATAAACAAGAGTCGCTCAGATGTTTGTTTGGGTATCAGCTCATTGCTTCTCACCTTTTTTCTCTCCCTCTGAAGGAGGACGAGGTGATGCCGGCCAAGTTTGAGGACGACCTGATCTGGGTGGCGGCAGACACGCCGCTCTCGGACTCCGCCTTCCTCAGCAACAAGATCAAGGACTTGTGCGGAGACCTGCCAATCTTTTGGCTCCGTCCCACCTACTCGACCAGTAAGCAACCAGACGGCTCATAGTAGAGTTCAGTTAAACTCTCAAGTTTTAAGTCTGTGTGAGTTTTTGCACAAAACAAAGAAGATGTGGGTCAAACGGTCTCAAGTATTTCCATTTAACACTGCAGTTGTTAAAGCCCCAGAAAGAAAAACAAGCTAAAAAGAAAAGTCCTTTTGAAGTTTCCGAGCCACAGAGTGAACAATTTTTAGCATGCTGGGAGGTCAAAAGTTCTCAAAACACAATTTTATTCTACTTCATCTGAGGACTTCAAAAATGCTGCCAGAGAAACGGCTGTGCAATCAGGAGCTGAGCCACATTAGTGCCACTCCGCTCCTAAATTTGGTCTGCTGTCAGATAGTGAGACTCTGATGTGTGCAGGCGGACAGAGGAAGAGGAGGGCCGCCCCCCGCCAGCGCCGCCAGGCAGCCGCAGCCGGGGAGGAAGAAGAGGAGGACGTGGAGGCCGAGTTCAACCCGGAGAACCCCTATCAGGTGAGTCACACAAACAAACTCGCACTTTTCTTCTTCTGCTGCTGTGTACCGCGTTCACAACTGTCCGGTCACATCTGGGGGATACCTGAGAAGGCTCTGGCCGCCGAGAGTTTCTCACAGCTGTGCAAGCGGCAGCAGATGCCGGGGTCACGGCGCAGGGGCCCGGATTGTCACTGCAAATCTGAGTGTATGCGTGGGTGTGTTTTCCGTGCATGCCTTTTCTGTGCGAGGCTGTCCAAAGCTTTCCTTTCAGCATTGAGGCTGTATGAATAATTCCACAACACCCCCCTCCTCTCCTGTGGCCCCTTTGCCCTGCTGAGCGCACACAGACTCACATACATACACCCTCCATCCTCACCCCTTAAATTGGGCCCCAATTTCCTAATCCCTCTCCCTTCACACTCTAAGCATCCCCCAGCCCCTGTATTACACTGCTGACAACCACGGAGGGGGGTAAACAGCAAGCACTACGCTGAAAAAGAAAATATTTGACAACAAAAACCCACATCTGACAACATCCCCTCCTCCCCAACCCCCGCCTGTCGGAAATCCATTTTTAATTGGTTTGAAATGAGCTTTCTCCGCCGCTAACGACACGAACGCTATCACATGACAGCACAGACACTGTCGTCTGACCTCTGTCCTCCTCTTGTCTCCTCCCAGAGAGGTCTCGAGGGCGAGCAGGGCAACATGAACATCGACCCCATGCTGGACCACCAGGGCGTGTGCTGCGCCGAGTGCCGCCGCAGCTACACCCACTGCCAGAGGATCTGCGAGCCGCTGGGGGGCTACTACCCGTGGCCGTACCACTACAGAGGCTGCAGGGTGGCCTGTAGAGTTATCATGCCCTGCAACTGGTGGGTGGCACGCATCCTGGGTCTCGTGTAGACACCCTTTCCCGCCCCACACACACAAACCCACACACACACACACCTGGGAGACGGTGTCCAGAGGAGGTGGAGTCCAGAGTTGAAGAAACAAGGCAGGGAGGGAGGTACGGGGATCCAGGGGAGGAGGGGAGATGAAGGGGAAAGGTTAGCTTCTCATTTACTTTAGATACCTGTTGGCCTGAGCAGAGCCGTAGAAAACGAACAGCATCAGTAACCGTGTCCATACATTATAAATGCATGGTGCAGAATCTAGGACACGCACACACATGTTAAGGTACGCAGTCGCTGCACACTGCACAGCTTCTCTTATTAAAAAAACATACCTGCTTTCCACTTAGATCCTTCTGAACTACAGCACGACTCGCTGTGAAGAGAACATACAGTAGGTCATGATACAAACATCCCACAGACCTGTTTCCCATCACATGCATTGACACCTGACACCAGGGTTGAATTACATGCATGACACCACACGTTTATCTGTGGGAAAAGCAGGTAAGATTGTATTTATAGAGCCGACCTCTTCTTTCATCCTTTGCTTTTCGATGTAAATAAATGTATAGGGCGCGTAGTATTTCCATAGCAGTCAGCTGGCTTAAATAGCATCTGTTTGTTTTACTTTTCATCACTCTAGTGAGAAATATTTTTGACTCCTGTGTTTTTAACTCCTTCCTTATTTGGTCTTCATGAGTATCTCTCATTAAAACAATGTACTGTACGCTTCCTCTCAGAAACTTTCATCTAAATGTATTTTTATCTGCATTGAAGAAGCTCTCAAAGTGCAATATCACTGAATAAACTTTTTTAAGTAAAGTTTGAAGTCTCTTTTTTTTATGCTTTTGGCCGAATGACTTTATATCCTATTTGTAAATACATATTGCTTATAACAGAGCGTTGGGTTTATTTAGGAACCCCCCCCCCCCCCCCCCTCATTCAGACTCAAAGACACTTTTCAGTTTTGAGAAGTGTCACATCTGGTTCCTGCTGCAAAGGGATGAGCAGAAAGAAGTTTCCAGAGTTCTTTAATGTGAGAGTTGCAGCTCTAGAACTCTTTAATGAGACTAAAGACTCTGTAGCCGTCACGCTCCCAGATCTTACCCACGATGCAAAGCGCTTAGCTCCTTTTGATGTCACAGAGCCGCCTCAGGCGGGGGTAGGGGGTAAGGATGGGGGCGGTGTGTTTGTGTGTGTCAGGGATAGTGGAGGAGTGTGTGTTTGTGTGTGTGAGAGAGTGTTATGAAGCTGAGAGTTCCATCCAGAGCCACAAATGGGCGTTTGATCGTCACGAGAGATGAAACGATGTGTGATGAATTTAACACTTAACTCAGTGTGAGAGGCTTGATGATGCGGTTAAGGAGGCTGATCCATATTAATGCTCTCGCCTTGGCAGGACGCCCCCTCACAGTTACAGCTGCTGCATGTATGTGGTTGGAGAACGGGAGGTGGCTGCTCTCCCGCATCTCCGACTGCAGATCACCACTCCACCTCGGGGCCGCATCCTCACCTGCCTGCCACACAACTGCGGGGCTCTCTGCCTCGATACCAATCGAACCTCGACACGTAAACCACGTCCTCCAGCTGTCAACCGCATCTGAACTGCCTGCACTCATATCACTAATGCCACATTTCATCCCTCGCAGCACATGATCACACAACATGGCTCCCCGTCATAATGTATTGCTGTTTTTGTGTCTGATGGACGGATTTTCCAACCTGTCCAAAACAGTTTCCAGAGACAAACCATAAAACGTGACAAAGTTATTGAGCCAAACAACAAATCTTTTATTTACACTGAAGCTGGAATCACACTGAGGGAACGACCGGTGCTGAGCCACTGGCTGACACGTCACACAGTTTCCAGACTAGTCAGAGTATTGCTGTTGACTTTCTAGAGTAGAGAACAAAAGCTGTATAAGCCAAGAAATGCATTCATAATTATTTAAACATCTCGAATGGTTCTTTTTTTCTTTCTTTTTTTTTTTACATTTTTATACAAGTGTTGATAATAGAGTTGTAAAAAGCTCCCAAATAGAAAGGCTGAGGGCGATTTGAGAGAAAGGAGAGAAAATAAGAATCCGATGGTTGAATTTGAGCATTTCAGGTTTTTAATCCAGACATTTGTTCCCTTTTGAGCTCATTAGCCTTTAAAATAAAAAAAAAAAATTAAGATAATGTAAATCAATCCGTTCAACAGATTATTCAAATGAACTGACTCCATCTGGTAGGAAGCTATTGCAGAGAGTAGGCCATGTGTGGTTTGGTCAAGTGACGGTGGGAACACTGAGGCTCCCTGCACGAAGGCGGAGTGAGCAAAAACAAAACTGAGGGGAGGAAGTGGACGGCCACGGAGACTGCAGAGCAACGAGGACTCAGATGAGCAAATGTGAAGAAAGATGATGCCAAACAAAAGGGGGGTGGGGGTGGGGTGGGGTGGGGTTGGGTGCTCAGTACTTCTTGAACTCTACATCTTCTGGTGGGTTCATTTCCACTGTTCTCTTGCCCACATCTCTCCAGTTGGTGCTGAGGACTGTACCACCTGACTCCATCTGCACGGGGAGGAGAGACAGAGACAGTGAAGCAGTCTGTCATTACGTTAGCAGTTATGCAACACCTCCCTGCTTAAAAATGCCAAGGCTTAGATAAGTCCACTGCAGCAACTTTCCCTGAGTATTGATGTACAACGTTTTTTTTTTTCTCCGGACCAATTTTTAATTTGAATTTTCTTCTTTTTTTTTCATAATAAGCTGAAAAGTCAAAGATTTCAAAGTGCTCATCTCCATATGAGCTGACCTTTATTCTCCTAAAGGTCTGGCGCTCTGGGTTGTTTAAACCAAATGCAGAAATGACTACTTGACATGAATGTTAAAACACCATCAGCCTCAGTTTTTATGTTGGAAATTACAGCGAATCCTATTTCAAGTTGTACCGCTGCACTCCAGCATCACGAGATCACAGGTTAACGACACAGAATGCTGATTCACCCCAATCATCAATCAACATTTAGCTGCAATCACACACCCTTACACATCCTTCCGTACAAGTAAATACACTCTTAACGGAAGCTCATTAACTAGACAGTCAGTCACTGCTGCATCAGTCCACACTGCACATGCTACATTACGTTCACTTTAAATCATGTGTGGATGATGCAGGTGCAAATAAACAGCTCTTTCAGTATTTTTCATATTCACATAATTGTGACCTGTAACTTCTCACTCCGCCCCTCTGTTGTAGAGTTTGAGGAAACACTGAATGCATCGTTACACCTGCACATGTGACAGTCTGTGTGTGTGTGTGTGGACGTGCTAGAAAAGTGTAATTGCTGCTTATCCTGTGGACATTCAGTCATTTCACCTTGAGCGTATTCACTGAAAACCAGAGTAAACAGACGAGGAGCTCATTCAAACAGAGGAGAAGAGATAGAGAGTGGAAGTAGAGAGGACCGTCCCCGTCACTGCTCGACACAACTGACTGAGGAAGAAAACTTTGCAGCAAAGACTGGAACCTGTCACTGTGTTCAGACAGAAAGCATTTTTAGAAATGTTCTTGAGTAGCTGGTAACAGGGTTCCCACACATTTTTATCATCAAATTCAAAAGACTTTTCAAGGACTTTCCTGGTCCAATTCCCCTCAAATTCAAAGACCCAACACGGCGTAGTTCTAGACACGGATCAAGGTTAATTACTGTTGCAACGCTAAGATGATGAGAACTAGCAGGCTGTACAGACGCTCACAGACAACAATTAAGAAGAGAGAAAGAGGAACACATCTCGGCTGTGCTGCGTTACAGCGACGGCAGACTGTGTGGTCTCCTGCCTTCTCTAACAGAGCAAATACAGACAGAGACTTAATTATGAGTCGTAGAGCTGAGAGACGGCGGGAGACACACAGAGACAGCGGCGCAGAGTCTATTTACTGACATGAAGTTAAAATAAATCTCAGATGAACTTCAGTTTCTATTTTTGCACAAAATATATTAATTCAAGCACTTTCAATTACACGTCAATTTATATCTTTTCAAAAACTCTCTCAGCCTTGAATTTCTTCTCTCAAATTCACACATTTTCAAGGATTTCAAGGACTCGAGGGAACCCAGAGTTCAGCTAGAGGCTGAACTGAACACGAACACAAACAGGCGGACGCTGCGTCTGTTGCTAGCCTAGCTAACGTCGCTCCAGCAGAGACATTTTCACGAATGAAACAGGTAAAACATTCACTTTGCTTTCTGTCTGAACACATCTTTAATGATCGGTAGCTGCTGCATTCAAAACCGTTACATGTGTAGAAAATCTAGTGGATGAAAAAGGGCTAATTTTCTGTGATGTTTCGTGCGAACTCAGTGCAACGTTACCAAAACCCATAAACAGAGCGCATGTTTTTTGTGACTTAAGAAAGATGCAGATAAACAACATGTTATACTGAAGTTTATAATAGCACCTGTCCATGTAATCTCACTGCTTCCTCGTGTGTGAAGTGACGGTCATGTTTACTATGCTTAGTGAATACTGTGGAAGGGATGCATGTTGCTTGAGACTGAAACTTACAAAGGACTTGTTCATGGCTCTCTTGACCTCGTCTGAGCCGTCCGAGTAGATCTGCTGGAAGAGCTTGTTGAGCGCCGCGTCTCCCTCCAGCTTTTCGTTCTTCTCCTCCTCACCGAGGTCTACCACCATCTTGTCCCATTTGCAGGTGTAGTGGGACGACGACGGGTACTGATCTGATGGGGAAGGGAAACGCTGTTTAAAACGTCTGCAGTTAATACGGACATTTGAAACCAGCTGAGAGGCGTTTTGGCAAAACACTGAGTGTTCCTCAAAACACTGGAACCACCAGCTTATTGCTTTTAAGAAACAATGCATGCGTTCATAAATACCTTGAATTCGATCATCTAATCACACCGAGGATGTATTAACTGGCAAGGACTGAATTCATTATCATCACTAAGATGCTGACGGATCACATTGTGATTTGATTTCTATATTTTCTGGATGCAATACGCCCACTATAATCCCAACAAGAGATGGAGAGGGAGAGCGGGAAATGTAATCCAGACACAGATTTACATAAATACAGCACCAGACACACAGTAGACATATTCAGGCCAAGTGTGGACATGCAGCCATGTGATCCCACAAAGTCGGACGTCAAGTATCATGTTTACATGTAACACTGGCCCGAGATAAAGAAGGCGCTTATAAACAGGGTGGGCTAGAGGGTGAGACGGTTGTATGGAGGATAGACTGGCTGCCCACTTTACTTGTACTCTACCTTCCACACACACACACACACACACACACACACACACACACACACACACACACACACACTTACATAAGTAATTAATCCTGTCAGTAATAGGAACATGTGGGCTAAAAAACTGACTCATTTTTTGCTGTCATACCTTTCCCTCTCCCTGCCTACTTTTGCCGTCAGACTAATGAAAGACTCTAGCAGGGTTCGACTGCCCACTCTCATTTTAGTGCAGAAAAGACAAACAAAGCCACTTATATTGATCTTTGCAGAGAGAGAGAGAGAGACACACAGAGAGAGAGAGAGAGATAAGAAGCAGATGAGGGAGGAATGGAGAGAGTGAACACAGACAGGAGGATAGTTGGAGGAAGGAACGTAAATGCCGAAGCTGTGGACTGACTAGGATTGAAGTGTTTGATGTTGGACTCCTGTCCTTCTCCCTCCAGCTTCTCCCATCTGATGGCATCTGTCTTCATCATCTTGATCTCCACCTGACACGCGGAGAAGGGGAGGAAAGAACGAGTTTGAACAAGGGAGATAACAACGTTTAACAAAATGGCCTTCTTTGGTGCGAGGGACAAAAATAACGCTTCCATTAGAGTGACATCTTAAAAGTACAGGACATCAGATCATTATTGAGGCCAGAGAGACTGTCTGTTCAGAGCCGACGTCAACTCAGCCTGCGAATGTGTGTGCGTGTTTGTGAGAGAGAGAGAGAGAGAGAGAGAGAGAGAGAGAGAGAGAGAGAGACATCAGGGATATGCGGGGGCACAGCTCAATCTCAAACCTCACTGACAGACATACTGCACTAACGAGATGCCTGTCAGCCAGAGGGCCAGTGTGAGAGACGGAGCGGGGGGAAGAGGAGGAGAGGAGGAGGGGAGGAGGGGAGAGAGAGAGAGAGGGGGAGATCCTAATTCCACACAGCAGCATCTGATCCAAATCATTACACCGGGAGAACATGGGAGAGGAGAAAACAATGAGTGGAAGAAGGACATGGACACACACTTTTAACACTGAGCTGCATTGACAGGGTCATACCAGCGAGACACGCGAGCTGCCGCGCTATGTGCCCCCCCCCACACCACCCCCTACCACCCCCTACCACCCATTAATGGTGTGTGTCTATGTGTGTGTGTGTGTGTAGGCTTGATATGAAAGACAGCACTGGTAATGTCGGTGCAATTAAGGAACATTTCTGCTCTGCTGGGCGATGTGATGATTCATTTATGAGGGTGCCAGAAAAGAAGAGGGAACCAGGAGGTAGACAAGGTTAGAGACGAGGAGGCAGAGAGGCTGACTGGCAGTGAGCGAAGCGTGAGTGAGGGGAGCAGATTGAGGGAAATAAGACGACGGTGATGAGCAAGTGCGAGTGGCGGTGGACTGATAGATCACTTTGGTGTGTGTCAGCGCTTTCTGGCCCACAAAGGGCCTTGTGCACGGCGAAGCATCTGTGCGCTGTCCGAAATTTACTTTCTGGCTCACCTGCGAAAGGCTGAGGAGCTAAAAAAAGATCTCTGCTGAGAATACAGGTTACTGTCCGAATAATTCATATTCATCCTTCAAAAGAGTGCGTCACATAACTAACTTTTTTTCTTCTTCCCCCCCCCCCCCCAAAAGTAAGTTTCCGCACAGAGTCAGGATGTGTGTTAATTAAATATTTTGCTCGGCTAATTATAAAAAAGAAGCGTGTGTTTTGACATGAGCTGCAACAGATCTTTTAGTGCAAGTGCAGCTGGAACAGTACACCACGTCTCTCATCTGTTCGAGCCACGTACTTCAATACACGAGGGGCCAGTGCGCTTCGACAGAAGAGCTTCTCAGACGCTCCAACAGCTTCAGAAACCCCGCCCCCTCCCCCTACACCTCGCTGATGTCAGAACCGAGGGGCTGCGTCCGACAATTTCTTTTACTTTCCGAAACTGAATATCCGACATTGACCGTGTTTCTTTCTCAAGCTCTCCTTTTCCATTCTTCACACAACTATTTCTGTGAGTGAAAACCAGTTCAACACTGTGAATGTCTTTCAGGAGAGACTGTATGAAAATATGCGCTGTTACCGTCATGTTTAAATAGAGTGTTTTGTCTCGCCTGTCTTTGTGATGGCTGGCATTTCAACCTTCCATTAAATGTTGCCGTCTGTTGCCGAACAGTTATAAAAACTTTTGCCTTCAGATGAGGTCGGACAACCTTCTGTGCAAACTAGTTCTTTCAAGTATAAACCCGGCACTTACACAAATAGAAAAACATGAAATGGAAAAGGAATTTAGTTTTGAAGTAACTAAACCACCACTGACAATGCTGCTACAAAGGTGGGTCATTTTACTCAACCCCTGTAGAGTTGAGGTGGAAGAAGTTATTTTGAGCTACCAGGATTCTGAAGGTAACCTTTACCTCCAGTTCATTTTCTGCATAGACTGTTAGAGCACCTTAAGAGGACTGAAGTGACTGAGTCATCAATACCGCGTTACAAAACACGGCTTAAAGCAAAGAAAGTTGCTAAGATGCTAAAAAAACATAGCCTAGCGAGCTGTAGGCAACAAGCCGGATGGATGATGGCTGTGGCGCATCTCACGACCCGTTTCAGAAAGACAAGAACACCAAGTGTGAATCCTCGTCTTAAATCCTCCTCAGTCGGAAACCCCACGTCTGGTAACTATATCCAGGTCCATGCACAACTTTCAAAGCTGTAAAAAAAATATCCAATACACCATCTTTCACTTTCAAAAGATTCTGATTTTGTTTCCCTCGTCATTTATTAAAATACACTTTCTTGGATATTTGTTAATCAATAATTGGACTGCTGGATATTATAATGGGCAACTTCACTTATTTCTAACTCTTAATAGTCAAAATGATTTATCATGTAAATACAATAAATCTTACAGATTAATTGATCATGAAAATATCCATTAGTTGCAGCCCTAGTACCTTGGCACTGTCTTATCTCAGTTAAGTCACAGCTCAGATCACAGCTGACCACACCCTCCCTTACTGCGGTCAGAGGTTCAACAGACTTATCATATCAAAACTCAGCAACTCACTGAGGACAATGCAAATTTCCTCTCTGTCCAAAATCTAGTGTGGAGTCAATCTATGGTTTTAAGTTTGTCACAGCTCTGATAAACGCATCTGATTGGTTTCTTCTGCGTGGCAACTGTGGTGAAGACTCATGGGTAACATAGATTGATGGTAAAAAAACAATGTTTTTTCAGAAATAAATAAAAACCGATGCCCTGACATGCAGATGTGGTATATTTTAATTTTCCTAGAGACAGTGTTTCTATGTTGATTCATTAAGCCCTGCTGATCAGCTGTCAGGGTTGTTCCTCTTCGTCAAAGCAGTTTGTTTTTGATAAACTGATTTCAATCCGTTTGTGAGACAGTGACTGCTGGCATATTAAATCATTTTTAGTTTCTTGACAGATACACCTGAAATCTAGGCACAGATCCTTTGAGCTCTGTCAGGGGTCTCGTGCTTTGAAGACATCAGTAGGTATCAAAGTGTTGATTTGCCATACATGTCTATTGGCTGACAAATAATGCTAATTGGAGTTCAGCCTAACACAGCTGTTACAGCAGTGGTTGTAATATTGATGCAGTTACGTTAGATCTAAAGTCTTTTTTATTTTGTCTTTAGATTTTTTGGTTACCCCCGTGGACACAGTTTTATATTCTGATATTAACTCTGAAATACTCTTAGTCCAGTAGAGTTGCTCAAGTTTTTGGTTTTAATGAGGCTCGTAACAAGGCAGCAAATCATAAGCCTGTCGTGCTGTTTTACTGGATTTGTTCATAATCATAGAAAGTTTATGGTTGAGACAAAGTCTGAGGACAGGAAAGAACCAAACACTGCAGACCAGGCAAATTAAATGTTATCATCTTAATATTAGCAGCCAGTGCAGCAGGTGCCATTTACTGTCTTGAATGTTTTGCTAGTGCGAAGTGCAGAACTCAAGCTGAGGCTCTGTGTGTGAGTCAAAGTGTGTGCGCTTCTATGCGTGCTCCTGGGCCATACAACATTAATCTGCTGCCACATCTGTGTTTCCTGGCTTTTAAGGGAGATGGCAGGCCAGGCGCCGTGTGTGTGTCTCTCCCTGTGCGTTTCTATGTGTGTGACAGGCGAAGCGATGGCTCGTAAAGGGATGTGACAGCAGCGCCACATACAGGGGCCACCACCCACAGGACCCCAGGGGCTGGACTATACAATACTGCACTACACTCACACACAGACACACACACACACATGCTATTTACAGAGGGGCACTGGGGTCCCGTGTCACTTGTCACATGTGTTTGTAACCATCACCCCCCCTTCTCCCCACCACGACTCCTCACCCAGCATCTTCTCCCTCTTTCTCCAGATCCCTGTGGATTTCAAAACAAACTCATCTAAAAAGACGCATAAATGAAATAAATATAAACATTCTTAGACATTGACAGGCATGCAAATTAAAGAGGGGAGACGCCACTTTAGCTATTTGCCGAAAAGAGATGAGTTTGGAACTGAATGAACGAGCGAGTGCGGATTCAAAATTGCGTTGAGTGTGTTTGCTTGCACGCGCCTGAGTGTGTGTGTGTCAGCCGTCTGTTCTGATCAAACACACTGGTGTGTAATTGGCTCCCTGTTGTCGCGGTGACCCCTGCGGTTGGAATGTCTGTCGTGGTGGAGGACAGGAGGAGGTCGCACTGAAGATAATGTGCTACAGACGACACACACACACACACACTGAAAATACTTTGTGTAGATGGCACAAGTGTGTTGAAAGATTACTGTTCAGCCTCTGTATTTGTTTGTGTGTGTGTGTGTGTGTGTGTGTGTGTGTGTGTGTGTGTGTGTGTGTGTGTGTGTGTGTGTGTGTACGCGTGTGCACATTCATGCCCGGCTTAGCCTTCCCCTGCTAAGTTGTCTTTAAAGACAGCGAGGAGATGAAGCGTAAACATTGTGGAGCGAAGAGTGCAGGGCAGGCTATTACAGAGACAGACAGACCGACATTGGTTGGGAATCAACAGCTCCGAGGGCAATGCGTTTTTTTTTTTTTTTTAAAGCGTTCATTAGGGATGCATGCCAATCTGGAGGAACTTGATTTGCTGATGCCGTTGTTCATTTGAATGTTTTTTCCCCCCAGTGGCTCCTTGGCTTCAGAAAAATGAAACAGCTCCAAAAAATTTAAATGAGACCCGAATCGAGAAAGCTGCTCAGTTTGTTGGGCTCTGTCACATTGTTGTGCACGTGTGTACATGCACCTCACCTGTAGTTTATTAAGAGTTGGGAGCTTTTATGCGTTTCTGAACCTCTGAATGCTGTAATTACAGATAAGAACTTATGGGCTTGGTGTTGTGCGTGTGTGTGTGTGTGTGTGTGTGTGTGTGTGTGTGTGTGTGTGTGTGTGTGTGTGTGTGTGTGTGTATGCGGGGTCCATGTGTACCCGAGGAGCCCAGTGGACCAGGGAACAGTCAGAGCTTTGTGGGAGAGGAGGAGGGTTGAACACTCTCTCTCGTTATCCTAGAGGTGGGTGTGTGTGTTTGTATGAGCGCAAGACAGAGAGAAAGACAGAAGGTGAGTGTGAGTGTGTGTGTGTGTGTGTGTGTGTGTGTGTGTGTGTGTGTGTGTGTGTGAGAGACAGATTGACAAACTAAATACAAAGAAGGTAAATGAAGAAGACAGACAAAAAACAAAACAGTGGCTGTAGATGAGAGGGAGTCTAAGACCATCCTCAGCTGTGGTCTCTCTAAGACTGAGCCCTTGTTTAAGCTGCAACCCACGTGCACCTCTGGTATGCAGTGTCTGCTGTTGCCATGGAAAAGTGAGAAAGTAAGTGAGTGTTTTTTTTGAGAGGGGGCAGTTTCTGTGCAGGTCAGCTTCTCTCCAGCACAGTGTAGCCAGTGGATATAATGCACAGGATATAGACATAAGGTTATATAATGCTACTAACCAAGTTTCCGAAAAATCTTTTCACTGCTTGTTCACAAATGTTAGAGAACAATAAATCTAACACAAAACATACATAGGGCTGCACACGGTTTGACTTTTTTATACTAGTGCTAAAACATTTCAGTATGTATACCAAAATTAGGCTTTTTTGATACCGTACTGAAAAATGCAAAGGTGTTTTCTTTTGCAAACAAAACCCTTTTATATTTCATAGCACAAGTCTTAAGGTCTCAAACGGCAAGTAGTGTCAAAACATACAACACACAAGATTAATTTTAAATTTAACTGGGACTGCAGATCAGGATTCTGACACATTTACATCATACTGATTGATTAGTTAAGTTAGTATATTTGCTCTTATGAGGCAAAATAAGAGGTAGGCTTTGTAGATCTATAGGTGCACAGGAGAAAAAGAACCAGCAAACAAAGAAATCAACTCCCACACACTGATGTTGTGCTGACAGAACACGGCAGTTGAGTTTTTTGTTTTTAATTTTTGTTTTAAATAAACTAGTCAACAAATTTACTAAAGTTTTTGCACCTCTGCTGGCTGGAGTTGAACTGTGTGTGTCATGTTAGCAAATATTTACACGGTACGTCTCTCTGTGTGTGTTAAGAATGCACAAATAATGGGAAGAAACACGTTAACACAGCTGATTAAGTATTCCATGCAATTTTCTAATTTTCCACAGTCAGTTCTGTCAGGAAACTTCCTCCACCTCTGAAAAGTGAGTGTAGCTGAGCATAATGCTAATGGGGTTTACCAGAGCTTTGTGCTAAAAACAGCTTCCTGACATCCACCAGCGAGGTGTTGGAGCATAAAAATGTCAAGAGCTGAACTAAATAAATAATCTAAAAATAAATAAACTAATAAAACTAATAAATAATAAAAACAAACGTGATTCTTAAAAAGAAAAATAGAGCAATAATTATTAAAGAACATTATGATTATTTTATTCCAAATGAACAGGGAGCAGGGTGAGTTCATAAAATTCAAATATTAACTTTATGATATTTGAATTGTAAAATACCAACAGGCTTTATCAGCACTGTTCTGTCTTTATAAATGACATTTATATAATGCAGAAGGTATTTATATAATACATTTGACTGCATTTACCTAAGTATTCTAGTGAGATGTCAGCTGTATCGATACCACATCTACTCCACTCCTCTCCACTTGTGTAGGTGGCTTAAACATTTCCCGCATCTCATTTTCATTTCCAATAAAGGTCGTCTGTCGCCTTTTGGATATAATATAAAGAGTCTGAAAGATTGTAATATATTAGTTTTAGTTTAGAGTAATAAACTTTTTTCCTCATGTGGAGTTTTACTTTGGTTTAAATAAATGTTTTGGAGATCACAACAGTATCTAAGGACTAAATAAGGACATAAATATACATAGATAAGGCTGCAAATTCATTGAGACCTGCAGCACAAACGCCACGTTCTTAGTAAATCTGGCCTAAATTAATTCAAAAACTCTCTGATCAAAAAACGAGTAAACCGGATGACGAATCTGCCCTGACGTTCAACAGACCTTGACATCAACATCTGATACAGTTTGATACCTAGCCCTGTTTTTATGAATCACGTGTTTACTACCTGGGTATGGAGACATTCAGCGGTTAACATGCAAAGCCTCCTTTCACAGACTAAAATTATAATCTAATGAATGGATTTTTTGTTGAGCTGCTAATAAAGGGTTACATCTAGTGATGCTTCTGAAGATGCCTCATCCAAAAACTGGAATAATAGCTCCTAAGGGTTCACAGGATGCCAAGGAAGAAAGCAGAGATTTATGCTGTAGTGTATTGACAAGGCCAGGTTGATCGATGCCCTAAAAAACAAATCCTTCCCCTCAACAACTCACACAAAAACCTGCCTTTTGATCCGCAGGCTAAAACCTGACAGTGGTCTAAACCCTGAATCAGCACACACTTAGCCAACACACTCATTAGCCCACATCCTCTATAATACACACTAATTAGTCTATAGTAAAAAGTGCCCTACCTACTCATTAGGCACATAATCACCTTAAACAGTGCTGAGGAACTCTCAGCGACTACAGCCCTAATAAATGTGTGTGTGTGTGTGTGTGTGTGTGTGTGTGTATGTGTGTGTGTGTGAATTTGTGCACATGTGCAAGTCTCCTGTTGGTTGCTCAGTAGACTGCGCTCACGTCTCCACAGGAGCTAGACTGTATACAGTGAGAGTGGATTTTCTCACTTCTACTCCAGCTACAGTGAGCTTTACCAGCATTAAGGAATTATAGGTGGTGACAGCCTACTTTATACTGCTTTAAATTATTGAAGAGATTACGATGTTAATCTCAGAGTGGTAACCTAAGTAATGATCAGTCACAATTTCAGCGAGCTGCTTAAACGCGCATCAGCGTGCTTTTTTTCTTTGCCTTTTTATTGCTATCTCACATAAATTTTATTTTTACATCAAGAGACTAAAATAATTAATGATCATCTATTAAGACAATAATAGCCTGAATACACAGACAAACTAACATGTCATGTGATGCTCTTTGGTAAAACATCGGTTGTGAGAAGAGACGTGCCTGCATTTCTCCAGTGTGTGACATTACTACATCATATTTTCTTTATAGCGACATAAAAAATGTTCCCTGACATGTTTAATAGTCTGCTTCTTTATTGTTGCGAGTAACTCCGAAGATGACAAGGCTACATGCAAGATTCAATGACTTTTCATTGACTTTCAAAAAACTTAGCTCAAGTGTTTCCTTGACCTAAAAATGTTGTTTCTGCTTTCTTGTTTGTTTATGTTGTTCAGCTCAGAAAAGTTGAAAAGCGGTAAACAGATTTATTTTCCACTACAGCTTGACTCGCTGCGGAGCAAAAGAAAACGACATCTAATACTAGTGTATGTGAGAAACAGGTTACGCAATATATTCTGTAAAATGATTCGTTGGTAAAATTCCTTGTTATTTCACGACATGCCCAGCGTTAGTATCATGTTTCCTGACTTTCTCCAGGCTTCACATTCAGGGACACTCCAGAAACGGGCAAAACCTTGTATGTGCTCATGATGATTCTGGCACCTACATTACCTCCTTAGACTGATGCCATATGACCATATTTAATTTAAATTTTTCACCTCAGTGTTTGGTCAACTGTGGCTTTTGTCCTTGCTAGGAACACAAATCATTTCACTAAAAACTCTAATAGTGCTGTTTTTTTTTGATAAAATAAATATTATTTTGTAATAAAGCAAGATGGAAAATTTCTAACACTGCCGTGACGCTAGCAAGGACAAAAGCCAGCATTTTTTGTCCCGTGTGCTCTAACATCAGAGAACACATATCACAATGCTTTGATGTGTCTTTGTGCACGATGTACCATTTAACACAACTGGTGCTTTTGAAAGCATGCAGGTCTGACACACGCTGTTTGTTCCTGCTTCATGAGCATGTCATCAGCCTCAGTGAAATGTCTGTCAAGCCTGTCAGACACATGTCAGATTATAGAAAAGGTATGGCAGAATGTAAAATATTCAGAGCTGTTAATGTTCTTGCAAATGTTGATTTTAAACTATTCTACAGCACATTCGGCTCTAAAGGCTCGAATAAAGGTGACTGAATGGGATGGGTGTGGTACCTTGGTGGTGAGGATCTTGAAGGTACTCTGTTGAGGGATGATGGGATGCAGGAGGTGGAGGTGGAAGTCGTAGTTCTCCCCTGATGCCAGCTGTATCATGGCTTCGAGCTGGAAGACACAGAAAGACCAGATATTAGTCATTACCCCACATTGTCTGCCATAAAGTTTAGTTGTAAGCAACTAGGAAAACATAAAAATATGTAAAGAAAGTTTCATCTAAGGTATTACCGTGACAACCGTGAAATTGTGGCACCAATCTTTTCATTTAGTTTAAAACTGCCGTCTTTAGAAAACAGAGTTGAGGAGTGAGGAAGGGCTGAAGGTGTCAGCATGTCCATGAGAATAATCATCTGATGTGGCTGGTGTGACGGCCAGGAGTATCCTCGCCCTGTCCCCTTCAGCCACAGAGTGACCAGTGATGAGGGAGGGTCAGACAGCTCCTAACAGCCTGTCACTCACGTACTGGGTGGGTGGGAGGTCTTGTTGGTTTAGAGGGACATGGGATCGGCTGTGGCCCAAATCCTCACACTGTTTCCACACTCATCACTTTCCAAATGCTGCTCTCATATGTACATGTTATTTTTTGGACAAACTCTACTTCACTTCAACCTGTAATGTGCAATTTACCACTGACCACTTCACTGAAAGTGCACTTCTCTGATTTCGGACCAAATTAATGCAAGAAGTAGTTCATCGGGGATAAAAGCTTAGAAAGTTAGCTGAATTAGCTTTTGGGCAATTCCACAAAGCTATCAAAGCCTTAATATTCATTTCCAGTTGAATTCCTACTCTGTCTGTAGGTATACAGCTGCTGCATACTCAGTCACCAGGGAAAATAAGTGAAACCACTGCCTTTCATCTTTAATTTCTTTTGTATATACTGACCTAGTAAAAAATATATGAACTTATCTGTACTTCACACCACAGAGGCAGCTTAACAAGTGACTGTGTGATTCGGAGCGAGTGAACTATTTCTTCTGAAATGGGGTAAACTCAGTTTGTTATTCTATTAGGAAAGACAAAGCCGTTCCCTGGGGTGCCCTGCAGTTACCCCTCTGAGAGAGGGAAAGAGAAGTGGAAAGGCAGAAAGGAAAAGAGAAAAAGAGAAAGAAAGAGGGTTGTCCCCAGAGGCCTATGTGGCTGATCCTAGATCAGTTATGCCTTCTATCTACAGACAATTAGGAGGTTGGAGAAGCTGGGGAGGGTAAATTGTTCTTAGATCTGTACTTTAGGGGCAATGTTAACAAGGCACCACTGGAGGCATAGTTGGGTCCATGGGGAGTGTGTGTGTCTGTCTGTGTGTGTGTGTGTGTGTGTGTGTGTGTGTGTGTGTGTGTGTATGAGACCCATCTAATGGGCCCCCCTGAGGAAACACCCACGAGCTAACCCATCCCTGTTCCTTCCACACACACACACACACACACACACACACACACACACACACACACTTCTCTCTCTACACTGAAGTGTGTGTTTGTACCTCTTTGTCCATGAATTTGACAGAAACACCATCCTTGGGTACGTTTTTCGCCATGACTGTGACAATGACTTGAGATTCTGTTTGATACCAGTCGTATCTGTGAGAGAGAAACACACACACACACAAACACACACACACACACACAATGATCAAAAAGTCTGAATAACACGACTTACTGATATGACTTCTTCTCTTTTGACCACTGATCCCACTATTACAATACAGAGACTTCATGCAACCCAGAAAATCAAGTAACAAAACAGCAGCAGCTCATTTACATATACTGTCTATGCACATTGTATTTACACACTCATACAGAATGGGGCTGGTTGAGGCACCGAGGCTGGGTTAAATATTTAACTGGTGTAATAAATTCACAGTAAAAACACAAAAGTGATACCTAGATAAGGAATATTTACATTGATATACTTACTTCACATGTGGCACTGCTGGTGTCTGCTGGGTCATTCAGCACCCGAGACGGGACGGCAATTAGAGAGGAAGACGTGGTGATAAGGTAAAGGGCCAAAACAAAAAGGACACAAATGTGTAAAAACAAAATAACAAAAGCAGCTTAGTAAGGCGCCCCTCTTTGAAGCAAGAGCATACACAAGACTGATTCTGTCTACTGATGCTGAGAGCAACACTGCCCCCGGGTGGCTGAGCAGAGAAACTCACCCTGTTGACGCTGCCGTTCTGTGTCTGATCTGGAGGGACAGAGGAAGGTGGACGCATTTAATACACTCCTTAAGTCCCTAAACTCAGTTTGCTTAAATATAATGATTAAAAGGCTGTAAGAATGCAACTTGTAATGTAGCACACATCTGTTTATAGATAAATGATAGCACAAAGATATAACTCCACATAGATATAGACACACACACACACACACACACGCTCCCTGCCTCGCCACCAGTTTGTTTACTGGTCCATCCACGCCCATTATAAGCCCTGTGAGCCCAAGCAAGCCTGATCACCGTTTACCAGCGTGCTATCATACATTATTCACTGATTTCATTACACAGCGTGAGAGCACACAGAGGGTAGAGAGAGATGAGATGATAGGAGGCGTGTTAATGTTGTCTTAATGAGGTCGCGTTTGAAATGGTGAGGAGCTGGGCTGTTAAGGGAAAAAGGCTATGTGTCTGTGTGTGTGTGTGTGTCTCTGTTTGTGTGTTTTGGTACGAGCAGGGAGCCACACGTGCTGGAATAACCAGGTGTCGTGAGTGTTTGTTGGCTGGTGGTAAACACACTGTCACCAGAAAAAAAAAAAAAAAAAGGATGACTGCTCCTGGTGTGAGCATGAGCAAGCGCAAGGAGGGTACTTTCAAGTTTCAGGGGTGGTGGGTGGGGTTGGTGGGTTGATGTACACCCTGGTGTGCATTTGTCTGTGTGCACGCGCGCGTGTGTGTGTGTGTGTGCTGTCTTTGAGCGGGCTTATGAAGGGGTTGGGTCTCATCGGGGGCTTTCAAACATCAGTAAAGTTACTCTGATGAATCATACCGCTCGTGGGAGTACGTGTGCACGCGGGTGTGAAGCGTGTTTGTCAAAACTCATGCTCTTGTTTACTTCAGATGATCCAGAGGGCCCAGGCATCACCAGCAAACAGAAACACACCACCCAGACATGGCATGCATCTTTTATTGGACGAAGCAGCTCTGCCTAAACACTCTACCAATGTGGGTTCATGGATGCGTGCATGCTTGTTTGTTTGATCAGACTGTGCCGTTTAGTGTTTGATAGCAGGAAAAAACTTTATGTAGATGTTAGATGGAACTGGTAATGGATTTGAAAGTTTGAACTTTTTAAGCAAACCTGGCAGAGGGAATATTGTGTAGCAATGTTTAATACCCTCTGAGGATTTAAAATAAATAAAACAATTAAACAATTTGAAATAAAATAGTAAAAGACTGTTAAATACCCTAATGAATGTAAAATTATAGAACAATCAGCTCGAATATGGATCTAATAAAAACAAAGACTTGTTCAGCTACTTACCATTGATCATTTCTTCACACCGCTTTATCCAGATCTCATATGATTTGTCAGAAGCTGTGGAGATCACAAAAAAATAATGGGAATGTTCTGTCTTGCTTTGTTACAAAATATTGTATATTTAAAAAAAAAAAATACAGCATTATTAGAAAATTTAGTGAAAAGATTTAAGAGCTTTAGTGAAGTGCTAATGAAGTCTACAGTGGTTTGACTAAGTGCTGGAGAAGGCTGAAGTCATTATTTTAATAGGTTTGTTTCCAAAGCTGAAATTACTTGGAAGAAAATGGGCAAATGGGGGAGAGTAAAAATAAGTAAAAGTTTAATACTTTATTGTTGGTTATATAACAAGCCGAAAAGAGATGAAAGAAGAGAAAGAGCCTAATTTCTGGTGTTTTTGCACCATGCCATCAATTTAATTCTGACTACAGATTCATCAAATGTTCCTTGAAGATATTTGGGCCACTTGCCCAATCGCCAATAAGGCCTTAAGGATCAACACTCCAAAAACACAATGACAGCTTGTTTTATAATGAAATAAATATATATAAAAATATGTCCATTAAAATCAATTCATGCTTCCATGACAGCGATTCTGTTACAGACATATCTACAGCATTTTCATGCTTGTGTTCTGCAATATACACATCATTATGCAGTGAGCATCAATGTGTTGTTGCTCATGTTTCGGTTGTGTTTTCAGTGACGTTCACTGTGAAGGAGAGCGATGGAGAAACTGTAGCTCTACAGTGAAGAAAGTAATGAGATTTTGTGACAGTTGGTCTGAATATTGAAAATGGTGGTAATAGTGTTATGGTTGACAATGTGCAAACAACGTGGACTTAAAGTGGTTTCACTAGCTCATATGATCTGGAACTGCAAAAACATTAAGCTAAAGGTTTTAAAATATATTAGTCCTTAAGTGACATCATGGATGCATCCCTCAAGACAAAACCAAAATGTACAATTGCTCTTTTGTAACAGTCATCATGTGACCTGACATTACTAAACTTGAAACAAATTCATTAACCTATTCAGCCCTGGAAGGATGTGATGCAACAGCTCCAGCTAGAAAAAATGATTACAAATTAGCCTTTTATATTCATTTTAATAAGGCTGTACTGAACCTATCCTTGAGGGCATTTGAAAGATATTTGCTGATTTGCAGTTTTTCCATGTTGCCTTGCTTGTGAGCTTATATTGTGTATGTATCTGTTGTCTCCAACTTTTGAAGCCACAGTATGTGTATAACTTACAGTTTTATCAAATGTTATCAGGTCGGGTTTCCACTAATGCATGCAATGTCCAGCAATTTTTTTCTTTTAAATAAAGACGTTAACAAATTGCATTACATTTGCAGAGTGATGTTCAACGCACTTTCCTGCTGATAGAGGTCTGTCAATCAAAGCAATGACAAGATGTAGTTTTATGGCTTTGTGAATTAGCGTGGGATCACAGGGGTGGTCTTCACTGTCAGCTCATTGCCATTTTATTTTTAGGCTAGGTTCTTCAGTGCTCATTGTTCAGGAGGTTTTTACCGGGAGCCAAATTATCCGCAGAGGTCTTCTCTTCAAAACAAACGGTGCCAATAATTAAAATCGATAAAAACACTGAATGAAGCAGTTTCACATTAAAAATCAGTGTTTCTCTGACATTCTTGGGCGGACACAGGAGGTCAGGAGGGGCTGCGAGAGGGGCTGTTTGCTCAGCTTGTTTCTCTGATAACTTACATCTGAGGACTGTAATCCTTCATTCAGTTAAAAGTTATAGTTATAAGGTTAAAAGGTTATAAAAAGTGATGGTGAAAGAAGTCGTCTGGAAATGTTTTAATATCTGGCCATCCAGAAACAACATATTCACTTTCTTTGTTTATGAACACATGCAATCCGAATGGAATGTGAAAACAAACGATGTTGATATTCAATAATAAAGGCAGTTTAAAATGGGCCTGCCTAAATTCTGGTGCAAATTTGGATTATACAGCTTAAAAGATAAACTTGACATTTAAACTCAAATATATCAATAATCTACAGTAACCAACATGTAGACCATCTGGTGCGACAACACACAGACACATCAAGGAAAATTAAAACAAAAAACAAACCTCTTGAGAGAATGAGACAAAGAAATCAGAGACGATTTCAGTATCAATTTCATTATAGGCCTGTATTTAAAAATAAATAATAATAAACAAAAAATGTTTACATTAAATATATAAACTATAACACACTACAACATCACTTGATATAAAAATATAATGGATGAGGAGGAGTCATAGAATAATGTGAAGTGTATTATCAGGCCTATATCAAAGCCACTTACCACAGTGATAAAGAGAAACAATGTTCAAATTGACAACAAGTTTGTTTGTAGTCAGACTGATCCACAGTTAAGTCAGTTTCATCAGTGAATTAACTTGTAATGAAGTAAAAGTGGTTGTGCCATGTTACCTCTACCTTAATATACAGTATATTGTGCATTGATTTAGTAGGTTCAACTGTTGACCAGAATATTTGAGGTATCCAGTAATACATTTAAAGATACGCACTCCACAATCAGAAAGGAGTATTTGTGATGTCATTGTATAAGCAATAAATAAAAGCACTATGTTAATAAAATCATATTGTAATGTATTTTATAACTAAAGCTAAAGGACATCAGTTTAGAAGTGTGTGCTCAGTGAGTAGAGTGAAGCAGACAGGGTACTGCTAGGAACAGTGGTTGGTAACAAGTGGAATGATGGGAAGTTTGTGCTCAAGTCTCAAGGCCAAAATAAGCTGTACTCACCATCCAGTTCGTGTCCCTGAGTGAAGGTTGCATGTGCTGACACATACTGGTTCATGTAGTACTCTGCTATTCTGCAGTTAGGAGAGAAAAACATGTCACACACACTTAGACTGGATAACCTTGGAAAAATAAAGGTGACCTCTTTTCACACGCAAAATTTGGATCATGTCTCGTTAATTTTTCTGGCATGTCAACTTTCCATTCTCAATTTGCAAGTTGAGCCAAAAATTCAAAAATCACAGGTGCCAACAAACTATTAACATCAGAGTCACAAATTGAAACTTAAGCAACAGGAAAAATGGGTTTTACTTTCATACCTGAAATTAGCGTGTAAAAGCAGTGCTACTTTATTTGGCATGACATTTAAGGAAGCCAACCTATAATGTCTACAAATCAAATTCATACCACAACTTAGGCTAAATGACATAGAACTATTTGGGTCATTCAAAAGTAGCTTCAGCTGAGCTTATATAATTTAACAAATATGCAATTAACCTATGTTTCCTTTATCATGTCAAAGTACACACCCTGTTCGCATGAAAGCAAGAGGAAGGCTGGGTTTTAACTGTTGTGCTTTCTTTGCATCATCAGCAGCACCTGTGGAAGAAAACACTATGTTTATTATACAGTACATATATATTCATCAAGGTTATGTCACTTAGAAGTCTGGAACTCACAAGATAATCAGTTGTTTATGAAGATTGAATAGCCAACTATAAGTTTATACTCATATACTATGGACTGTATCAAAAAACAAATAGTTATTAATATTAGAATAAAATGTATATTTTCTGCAAGCAAGCATAATCATGCAAATTCATTTTTTTTTAAAATGGCCATTTACTGATCATGTTTGTCACCACAAAATACTGTGAAGGCTTACAGCTGTAGTTTTTTAGAAGAATGTGAGCATAAGCACGCTGACAAAACCACTCTGCGTTGTCGGAGTCGCCTTGCAAGGCCTCATTCAGTGCCTAGAAGAAAAGAGGAGGTGTTTAAGTGGACAGCTTACTGCACAGCTTTGACTTAGAAAGATTTGTGTTAGTGGTAGAAAAGTAACACTAAGCAAATGCTGACACCGAGACAGACATGGCTGTCTCCTCTCTCTGCAATTCTGGCTTTCACACACAACTATTATTCGGGAAACCATCTGGAAGTGGAAGAGGTAATTCTGAGAGGGTTCACAAGTGTGTATTACCTGAACTGTGATGCCTAGTGTAATAGTTTCCACAGAGCACACACCATCATTCAAAGGAAAGTGTGTTTTAAATATCAAGTAAATAGAACTAAAAAACAGCATTCGCTACTGACTACTATTCAAATCTGTTGAAGATGACACTGCAAGCTTGTCCTGCTGACAACCCCACCTATCTAAAAACGACTGTTATCTGGTGATAACTCCTCATGACTTATAAATGGTGGTGAAGCATAACAACATAAAGTGCTACCTTTAAAATGTTACAGATACTTAGGGATATGGATAATCATGCCCTGCTCTCTTTACAAAGTGATGCTAACAGTAAGCGTTAGCTAACTTTGATGGCTAGTTACAAACATCATAAACGTGTCACCCACACCACACTCAATTTCAGCTAGTCAGACAAAGTCAGAGTTAACCGGAAGATAACCGGAAAGGGCCACCAGATATTTGTTAAAATCGCTAAGGACGGTTGTTTATGGCTAGCTAACGGCTGTGTTTACCTCCAGAGCTCTCTGTGGATCTTCGTCAATGAAGCTATCGGTGAAGCTGCTAAAGCAAAAGCAGAGATCAACCGTTAACACACGTGCATAGAGACAAACGTATCAAACAAATGAATCATATAAAATCTGGGTAATGTGTTTGGTTTAACTTGCCGTTCGGTTGCCATGGGCTTTCTGTGACTGTGGACAGTGTTCCTGGAGTAACAGGAAAGTTCTAGATGTGGAGGCTGGAAACGTGATAGCAACACCAACAGCCAGAGCACGGGCGGTGAAAGAGGCCTGTCAACATCCGACTGCACGCTGCTCCAACTGCCACTCCACCTATCGGCCTGGAGGAGCATTGCACCAGTCAATGTTTGCCCGCCAGTAAAGGAAGAAGTAACAATGTGCTTAAGATAGTAGCAAAAAACACACTGAAAATACAGTAATAAAGAGTAAAATCCCTGCATTTTAAATTGTATTTTAAAGTATAATGCCAGTTATATATGACTATATCATACAGTATTATTATTTTCAATTATGAATATTGAATTATTGGATTATTGGTACTACTGTAGTAATATGGAGGCAGCATTTTCATGTTTTAAATTTCATCTTTGGCAGTTTCACCCATAACAATGCATTATATCTTATAATCTGAATACGTTTCCATAATCAAAAAGTCCTTAACGATTCCCAAAGAAAATTTCAATTTGATTTGGGAACCAATCTTATAGGTTAAAATCCTATAGGATAAAAGCCAATATATAATCCTATGGGATATTTCCTATAATTCCACATGATTGGGATATACCCTATAGGACTATCAGCACTGAATGAAACAGATAACCATATGATTAACCCTATAAAAATCCATCTCATGTAAGATTATCCTATAGGATTGAGTCCTATAAAATTTCATATTTCATAAATTTATAGAAACATAAAAAATTGAAATCATATTGGAATATAGTTTTCTTTTTTGCTGTAAATTCAAAATACAATACATGCTTTCATGATTATTGCAATTGCAAGTATTATCTCAATCTGTAGAGTTACTACAATTTATAGCTGTCAACTAAATGTAGTGGAAACAAATTTCCCTATGACGTATCTAATAAAAATTAGTAAATGCACTTTCACTACTGACACTAGTAAACCAAATGTGGGTGAATAAATGAGCAGAGATGAATTTCACACGGATGATGACAAAATTAAGTTTATTTTATATTGACCATTATCTTTTCAACACCTCGGAACTGCATGAAAGCAAATACACCAAGAAAAGCAACAGAAACTCCACCTCTCCCTCTGCTACAAGCTTACAGATCTGTATCAGTAAAACTTACATTATCTTCCAGATAAAGCAAAGTGAGGGGATTTCAAAATAAATGTTTTACTCAGTAATAAAGTGAAAACAGTTTTGCATAGGGGTTTTCCTGGGGGGGGGGCAAAGGCACAGTTTTAAACATCTCCTAACCAAGTTTAACCTCACAGATCCCAGCCTAAATCTTACGAGCTCAGTTTTCATTTGATGTCAGGTGAACTTTGTCGGCTGGCTTTGCGAGGCTAAACCAAGATCAACCGAAGAGAAAACACTGAACTTAACATTACTTCATTACAAACGGCCAGCTGTTTTACTCCTTGCATAGAGTATATAATCTGTGCAGCAAAACAAATTTTTACAAACCTGAGGGAGAAAATGGCAACAAGGCACAAAGTCAAGAATGTTCACAAACATACAGTATATAACACACAATACACAAAGATATGCTTTAGAAGTCCATATAAGCATTTACTGTATATATGTGTAGTAACTAATTAGAATATGTGCATTGCAGAAAGGCTACTCTGAAGGAGGCCGAAGTAAAAGGCTATGAGACCATTTCATTGGTGATTGTCAACAACAGACAGGTCCACTGTGTACATACTTCAGCTATAAACAGCAGCAGTGCTAAATTCCTATTCTAGAAATACAGTGATCCCTTGTTTTCAACATTTCACAATACAAACATAATTCAGTAATCTTAAAAAAAACAATAACAATAATATGGAATGTTTTCCCTCAATAACCTCGTGATCACCAGGAACAGTGGAAGCAGGGACAGGATGTGTCTAAGATCTTCAGGCACTTAAGAGAAGAAATATACAGCAGGGGTAAGCAATAGTGCATCAAGGCAGAGGAATGATTCAGGCTGTGACAATAAAAAACAGAATAGAGCAGTAGAGGCAGAAAAGAAGGGCACAGTGTGCTGATCAGAGAATTAGCTCCATGACACTGGAGCTGAGGTGCAAGCAGCGGGTGTGTCTGCAGAAGGTGCAGAGAGGCTGTGGATTCCAGTGCATGTCTGTCTTTGGTGTCTTGTACAGTTAACAGATACAGGTAATAACAGAAGGCTGAAATAAAGGACATGAGTTTTTATAGTCTACTTAGAACGTAAACTGCTCAATGCTGTTCATTTTGGTTCCTGCCAATTTCCTCCCAACTCAGATGTCAGTAAGGAAGGGCTGATCTAGAATTATCTTTGTTACCAACTTATTAAAAAAAAATCTAAAATACAAAAATAACCCTAGATCAATAATCCCAGTCTTACACAATTATGAAATATAGGCCCTGGTGTGAAGACATTGCCACAACAAAGTGCAGCTCTGTAACTGGTCCTGAGTCAGTGGAGTGTATGTGTGTGTGTTTGGTGATGGACTGGTCTATTGGTCAGAGCTAATTAGAGGCACCAGCTGTGGAGTCTCTACTTGTGAAGCTTTCTGCCCTCTGTGTGACTTCTTATCTTGTGTCTCAGGTGCACCCTCACTGTCTACAGCCACCCCAGCAGCGGCCTGTCGCTCATACAGACTCCCCAGCAGCTGAGCCGTTTTAAAGACTGAGGCGTGACCCGTGGGCTGCAGGGACTGGACTTTCTCCAGGTTCTGGAGGGTCCGCAGCATCTCGGCAGACACGATGGGCAAATGCTGCTCCTGGATCAGGCTGGTGCTGGCAGGCCGCAGGACGGTGTCGCGCTGCCCTGAAGGCCTGGGAGCCGGCCTGGTTCGCTGGGTGGCTGGGGCTCGGACAGTGCTACTGGGCGACGTCTTCTTCTGTGGTGGGTGGGAAACTCCATCCTCCACTGACTGGTCACTAGAAGATATTGTGCTGTCATCAGAGTCATCACTCACACCTTCATCATTGCAGCTGTTGTCGTCGTGATCATCGTCGTCTTCTTCTTTGGTGCCGTCTCCATCTGTGATATAAATCATGTCTTTGGGCAGAGAGGTGAACTGGTAGACGAGTCGCTGGCCTTCCACCTTATTCAGTATCCCTCTCTGGTAGTAGTACCTACACAAACACAAACGTTCAACATTAACAAATACTGACTGTAAAAGATGACTGTAAAATCCATCTTACAAACCCTCTCAAGCTTAAGAAATTGTAGATTAACGAAGAGGAGAGGCAGGAGTGTTTTAATTTACAGGAGGGACATAAACCTACACGTTTGATTCAAGTTTTTATTGTTTTTGTCATGATCACTGCCGTTCTCTGTTAAGTAAAAGGAGTGATACATTTAGAATAAGGAGATGAAATACACAAAAATTGACAGACACAAAAAATATGCAAATTAATTGAGCAATTATTCTCCATATTATCCATATACTGTGTGTCCACTGACTTATTTACATCTGCCAACCTATTCTTGTCATGTAAAAGCAATAGTTACAGTCCTGACTGCAGCACTGTTATGAAGAAAAGATCTTCTAGTTTTATTTATTTATTTAAAACAATTTTGTCTGAGAATATCTATGAATGCAGCTGTTTCTGTGGTGTGGTTTACAAAACATTCACTTTGTTGTTGATGTGTTTTTAATATCTAACATTATTTTCCAGACAGTTAAATATGCCAAGTTACATGAAAGTGTTGTTCAACATTCTCTTCAGCACAACAGAAATCCAACATTAAAAGGCTCTTAACAACATGCACATGTGCTGCTTTGAGAAACACATGTAAGAATTTAGTGTTTAATTTTCACAGAAATGCTCATATAAAATACAATCGATCATTAGTGGGAAACCGGGCCCAGATCTGCTTCCATCGTGGTAAGGATTAGGGAATGAAAATACGAACGTGTAACAATGTTATTTTTGAGTGTTGTGTACCTGAGTGCTCTGCCCATTGTCTCATAATTCATATCCGGCTTGTTCTTGTGTTTGCCCCAGAGTTTAGCCACTGCTTTTGAGTTGACCAGCTTGAAGATCCCTGCATGGGGGTTAGTCCATTTGATGTAGCGGGGGCAGACCTGTCGATCCTGCAACAACTCCATAAGGAACTGCCACAGGTACAGCGTGTTTCCTCCTGAAGCACAAACACAGGAAACATAATGGAGAAGGAAAGACAAAGACACAATGTGGAAAATTACTTTTGAAAAAGCTGTGTTATAAAAGTGACTGATCCCCTGTGAGCCATCTAAAGCCCCTTTCAAACATGGAATTTGTAACATTGCTGTTTTCATCTATCTGTTTACCTGTTGGCCTTTTCTCATTCAGACTTTGACTTTTACATTATTGTACCTCATGGCTTTATTTAGACATAACAGTATATTTACAGACAGAACCACGTGCCCACGCGCCACTCGGCACCTGGTGCACGAGACGGTTCCTTGTGTTAAAAAGTTGTGAAAAACGTTCTGTTCTCTCGCTGGCTGCAATCACTGAGGATTATAAGACCTGATTTTGCGGTCATGGTCAAAACCTTGTGATTCAAATATAGTGTCTCAATTCAATTTTAAATGGGTGCCAGCTGGAATGACGTATCTAGAGGTTAAACTACGACCCACTACTGGGGAAAAAATAATAATGATTTGAAGAAATGGGGAGCACTGAGATAATCACTTTGGGGAAAACTGAACGTAGTCAAGATGGTAGTGGCACCTCAATTTAATTATCTCTCCATGAAGCTTCCTCAGAAGATGTCTGATCTGATTTATAGGCAGTAAAATAACATTATCAATGATTTTCTATGAGATAAAACAAAGCCCAGAATCAAAATGAGTAAGATGTGTATGGACAGGGACAAAGGAGGATGAGGTTTACCGGATGTAAGGGTGTATAATCAATCTTTCCAGATAAACAAACTGGATAAACATTGGGTTAGAGCTGATACAGACTTAGAGGGGACAACTATAGACAATGGCTTGGCTGGACTTTACTGTCCCATTACCATTTTATCACAACAGGCGGAAAACAAAAATAAAAATCTCATGCCGTCTCACTCAAGGTGTATGTGGACTACGATCCATGAACCAGTCATACTCCTCACTCTGGAATAACCCTAAAATACGTATTGGGAAAAGAATGGCGTACTGGAAAGAATGGCAGCCCGTGGGAGTAAACCGAGGGGGTGATTTGTGATTTATGTCATATCTGGATCTTCAGGGGAAATATATACTGGTAAGTAAAGGGTATTCATGGAAATATTTACTAATGAGACATCACTGGGGTAGTACACTCAAGAATGACCAATCACTGAGTAACCTTTTAACTCAGTACTTCCCATTGCCTCAGGAAGTTCACTGTGTTTTACAAACCGTTCAAACACTCCACAAGTGTTTACTGCAATAATCTCAAATCAATATGGCAGAAAGACCTCGCAACCGATAACGAAGATAAGCAGAGTTCAGATGTTACATCAGATGCGGGATAAAACATCTGAGGTCAGTAAATTGTGAAAAATGACAAACTGATCTTTTCAGATTGCTTTCATTTGACCAATAGTCCAAAAGCCAAAGATATTCAGTTCACCATATATACAAGGAGGGAAGGAAAGAAAAATGACTCATCAATGAGCAAAATATTTGCTAAAATAAAATAGTTGAATAATCGATGAATCTTTGCCAGTCTATTCACATCATCTTAAAATTGGCTCAGTCATGGTGTGATACATGTTAGTCAGCTATTATTCGCCTGATTCTTTATATGCATATGAGATTATAATGAACTGCATGAAAAAGGTGCACATTTTTCTTTGTGCACCTTTACACCAATCTCACAGCCTTTAATTCAGACTTGTGCTGCACTGAAAATGTACCAAGTCTCCCCTCCTGTACTGAGCTTTCAGTTTACATAAAAGTAACTCAGGCTCATGTAAAATTCCCATTACATTTAAGGAATGAGTTGCATGTTTGACAGCACCTTAACTCATTTTTTGTATGACAGTACCTTTGTTGTATTTGTCCTTTTTCACTGTAATGTCCGGTGTGGGAGACTCCGCCCTCCGATGCCGAGGTTTTCTACCTAAAAAAGTAGATGAAGAATAAGGAGATATTTAATATAATCACACGCAGCTATAATTTACTTTCTGATAAGAAAAGAAACAAATAAGTGACCGACCTCTCTTTTTGGACTGCAGCTGTGCCGCAGGCTTCTCTGTGTGCAACGAGTGCCATTGTGACTGGCCAACAGGTCCCACAATCCCCTCTGCTGACACAGTCACCTGGGTAACAGGAGCAGTGATGACATCACCCAGTGATGGTAAGAAGGTCTGGGCTGCAGGGGGCATAAACAGATGTAATGAAAGAGAACAGCATTGTGACCACCATGTCTAAAAATAACATCCCACAGTCAAACATGTCCTACATCAAAAAGCAGAGGGGGCAGCTTCACTCTGTTAGAGCGCGTATGACCAATGTTAACTCAGGTGTGTGCTTACAGTAGTGTTGTTCCAGCGAGAGGGTGTCAGAACAGTCCATGTTGAGAAGCGAGTCAGCGGCAACAAGCGTCTCCATGGTCTCTTCTTCTCCACTTTCACATAGCTCCACTGCAGAACACAGAGAGGGAAGTAACACACAAAACACACTTTCAGCAAGTGAAGGAGAGTGGCGTTTAGAAGGAGGAGAAACATTTTTAAATGTGAGAAACATTGAAGATGAAGCCGGACTAAAAGATCAGTTTGCCCAAATTATGAGAAAAAAAAAAAAGTCTCCTCTGGCGGAGTGCCTCTGCAGCCATCCAATACAATAAGGACAAAAAATTTATTGATTCATGTTGCTAAAGGTATTGAAATATTACCTTTAAAACACTCAGCAGCAATATATCTCTCCACAAACAATGTCCTACTACTCTGGATATTCAACAGAACACAGTGTGAGACAGCAAGGTGTGAGAAAAGGCCAATTTCACACCAGATATTTTGACATGTCACAGTAGAAAAAGCACAGGTGGAAAGAACAAAATGAATGGCGACTGGATTTCCATTTAGCTGCTGCAGTTTCAGGGTCCTGGTATCGAGCATCCCGGCTCACTGTTACACTGTCACTGCGTACTGGGGAACTTGAACAGAGCAGATGTTTTGTTAATGTTATTAGTGACACCTGTGCTTCTCCTTCTATGCCATTATGGGGGAAGTGGTCTAAGTTAAAATGTATGTTAAAATATCTCCTTGTTATCTATAGTTTTTCTGTAAAGAGAAGTTGCTGTTGATACTCAATGCTGAATTAGCCAAAAACAAGACATTCCTGACATTCCTAGTTATTTCATCTGCTAACAATGTTTGAATTAATCTTCCAGAAAATGTTGTATGTTATGATACATAGATGATTTTATCAATATCATCCATCTCGAGTTGTAAGCTCCACAAATGAAATTCAATTCACCTTCGTTCTACTGGGGTGACAGCAGACATTTCAGTGGCGGATGTCTGAAAGCTCAGGCATATAAAACAAAAACTATCTACATGGCCAGACACCACCAGAGCAGCGGTTACAGCTTTGTTGTGTGACATTAACCCCGCAGCTGTATAAGAGGGGCTCAAGCACCCCTTCATTGAGCCCCCTCGGTAATTGTTCAATAAGGATTCACTGCAGAGACAGCAGTGACTGAGCTGCACCTGTGGCTGCACAATTGTCAGTGTTTAGGTTTAGTCTTTCCTTCTTTTTTTTTTGTTGAGTAGATTCAGTCACATTTGCATTGTACTGGTAGCACCTGGAGTTTATTTATGCACTGCTTTTTAGTTTTCCATTATGATTTTTCTGTCATTAGAAATAGTTGTTGGGAAACTGAAGTGCGTCTCGTGCATTTGTCCTACTTGTAGCCGGGATATTAACTAATTATTAAGACATTTAATATACTGCATAGCTCAAGTTGGCTCCAAACTACAGCAGGTAACTGTAGAACTGAGGGTCACCGCGCTCCAGGTAAGAGAGGAAATGTTTTATTTTAAGGCTGAACTGACTCTTTAATGACTCTTATAGATGACCGAGCAACAATCTTATTACTTATTTGTCTTTGGCTCCAAACAGCAAAGGTGAACCTCTTTTTTTTTTTTTTTTTTTTACCTCACCCACGTCACTACACAGGTACATAGACTATTATCATTTAAACGTTTCACCTTCACTACAGACAATATGGACAGCTATGAGTTTATCTAAACCATCACATCTATCAGCCATGTCCTTGAGGATCAATATTATTATCAAAGGGGAGTCGATTGTTTTGCGCGCATCTCTTTACGTGACGTGACCAGGCTGAGGCGGTGAGCTACGAAACATCTACTAGCTAACAGCTGTTTGTCGTGAGCGCCAACACTTACAGTGGATGAGAAAAGCTGCCACCGACCTGTCAAAACAACCGACCGTGTTTAAGGTGTGCTGCCGCCACAAAGCGGTTGTAATTATACAGTAAAACGGTCCGTGTCTGACTGTGAGTGTTGCTCTGCTGCTGTTGCTACCGTTAGCTAAGTTAACCGAGCCCCGCCATGCCCAACTTTCAACTGCTCCCTCCGACCACAACAATATCGGAAAAAAAAACAACCCGATACAGCGATAGGACTTACTTTTAATTCCCAGCACTGGTGAGGAACAAGCTATAGCATGTGTGCTGTAGCCCGTATTGACCACGTCTACATCCTAATATGATTAATTAACTCTCTTTCCCAGGCACAAGCCAGGAATGTTTTGTTTCACTTCCTGAATTTTTGCGGAGGGTGGTCCATGTGCGAGTGGGCTGCAACTGCGCATGTGCAATCCGTGGCTTTCTACACTACTTGGCGTGGCTTGGTGAGTGTTACATTTGATTTGTTAAAACTTGAAACAAAACTCCACAGAGCAAATGTTACACTATTGAATAAAGCGTTAGCATGGAGTAGCTAGCAGACGGCAGGTGAGCTCCTATCATGAAATGTGAATGTGACAGGTAAAGAGAAGCGTGTGTGTGTGTGTGTGTGTGTGTGCGTGTGTGTGTGTGTTCATTGTGTGCACTGACCTTTGAGCAGCTGCTGGTGATCCTCCTCTATCTGTGACTGTTCACACGCTAGACCTGCATATGAGAGCAGGTGTGGATGAGGAACCTGCTCCACAATCACCGCAGGGTAATCTGGGTGCCCTCCCAGCTGCAACACAAACAAAGGGAATTAGAAGAGATTGCATTAGATTATAATTTGTTCCTCAGACTCTGTCTCAACATGCACAAAGATGAAATCAGATTAGATCGGATTAGGTTACGATTTATTCTCACATTACGTTGGAAAACACAACATTTACTCACCTGCGATATGTTAACATGGTCACTGGCGAAGTCAAAGATGAGCTCTGACTGCTGTAGCATGGCTGGATATCCCACACACACACACACACACACACACAACTCTAACTGTGTGAAAACAGCATCACAGCTTTCCTCTGAAGGCTTAATATCTGAACAGGTCTGATGTGTTTTTGTGTCCAAAACAGGTCCAGTTTTCTCCTGATGGCTGTCAGTGTAGATCTACCAGATGAGCTCCCCCCCGGGGATGAGATGAGGCCAGTGTCTCTCTGTGCAGGGTAACTCAACAGTGGAAGAGTGATGTGAGTAAACTAATTGACCAGAGACGCAGAGGCGTCACAGGAAACTCATGTTCGCTCGCTCTGTTTCGACTCTCGATGAGGAAGTGGGGGCTGCTAAACTGTCCTGTGGTCTGACTTAACCTGCCAGAGAAGAGAAACAAGAGCAAACGTGTGAGTTGAGAACAACACATACAGTGAGAGTGGCACAACTGTAGCCAGAAAAAGCCAGACGTTTTAATGCACATGAAAAAATTAAATATCCAAATAAAGATACGTGGTCACTCTGATCTGAGACACAGAGAAAACAGCACAGTTTGCTTCCCTCTTTCATATATCTCGTTCTTTTGCTCTTATCTTGCTTCTAAAAGAGGCTAAACCAGCAACAGGAAGGAAGCGTTTGCACTGCAATGTGTGCCTGGGCTGTGCGTGTGTGTGTGTGTGTGTGTGTGTGTGTGTGTGTGTGTGTGTGTGTGTGTGTGTGTGTGTGTGTGTGTGTGTGTGTGCGCGCGTGCATGGTACGAGTAGGGGGGAGGCAGCTGGTGTTGAGCTTGAAACATCATGTCTTTGCGCAATGTTCAAGGTTTTAGGGCCGTTGCGTGCACATTCCTTACAACATGACTGTGAAGTGGTCACTCAGAACAAAGCTACAAAACAAACTCCTCTGCGTTACTCCGCCTTCCAGTCTCTCCTCCGCACTTGTTTTTCTTTCCGTCCTCTCTTGTCCTCTGGCTGTCACATCACTGTTAATTCCATTTAATCAGTCTCACTCCTTTTTTGTTATTTTCCTGCCTGAGTCTGCGGACCATCCCTGCTCCTCTGTCCTCCATGTTTAAGTTACTCTGAGGTTAAAGTGAAGTAAGTCAATTCACGCTCTTCTTTTACTGTTGCACAGCAGCCTCCCTCCCACTCACAGGCGTCACATTTAACACAGCTGGCACACCCGCACTTACCTTCAGCTCCTTGCGGTTGAAGATCACACCAGCATTTAGGTTTTGTGTACAATAAATCTCGCTGCGTGAGCAAATTGCTTCCAAGGAGTTAATTCTAATCAGCGAGCTCCTACATTTTAATCCCATTAATCCTCAGTTTGGCTGAAAAGCTTCTGTATAGTTTTTCATATTTTTTAAACCCCAGCTGTCAAACAGAGGGAGAATGCGAGCGCGCTTCTTTGTGTTTATGCGTTTGTCTGTGATAGAGGCACAAGCATGTTTGGGTCAGTTATCACACAGGAAGCACAGCTCAGTTAGGAGGCACCGCTTCCTGAGTTCCTGTGCCAAACCACTGCCAACATGTCTGCCAGCAATGGCCCTCTCATTTTCCACTTCCTATGATGTCTGCAGTCATTTGGCACTCAATGATTTACGTAGGACACGAGTGAAATGGAGACGAGTTTCAAAGCAGTGTAAGATTTCCAAGTCAGTGAGGAGAAGTAGTGAATGTCTTCACTAATGTTCTGTATGCAGCATGATTTTTTAAATTAAAGCTCAACTATTATTCACTTGATTTGCCAAATTTAAATAGATTTAAATAGTTTTTAAGCAAAAGCAAAATTCCCTGTTTTCAGCTTCTTAAATGTGAATATTTGCTGGTTTTCTGTGTAAGTAAGTTGAGTTTTGGACTTTTGATTGGTTGGTTGAAGATATCACCCTGAGCTTTGGAACATGTGATGCATATATTTCAAATTTTTTAAACTATTTCCTGAGATAATAATCAGCAGTTGCATAAGAAGGAGTGATATTTATCATCTACAGTAAATCACAGATATTTTCTAAATGAGCTAACATACTTTCTTCATACACCTACTATGACTGTGTTTTCTTGTCAAGTTGCTTGTTCAACATAATGAGCTAGTAGCCTAGCTACTTTCCACTTTACCAACCTGAAAATCAGGCTCTGGATGAACAGTAAGGCAAGCTGCCATGCTTAATTTAGTGGCAGGGAATATGATAGAATTACCATTTTTATGCTGAGGATGCTCAATGGTACATCTCTATTTCACCACATAACCCCAGTGCACTGCACGCTCTTACTGCCTGTCTCACAGACATTAATTTGTGGATGGGCAAGAACTTTTTTCCAACTAAATGAGGAAAAAACTGAGAGTATTTTAATAGGCCCCAAAGCAGCAAGAGAAAAACTGCACTCAATGTTTGGTGGTCTCAGCAAACAGATTAAAACACACACCACAAACCTGGGAGAGATACTTGACTCCGATTTGAATTTTAAATCTCATTTTAACAAGGTCCTTAAAACATTCTCTTTCCATGTCAGGAATATAACCTCTTTAAATCAGACAGATGCTGAAATGCTCATTCACTCTTTCATTATTAGCTGTTTAGACTGTTGTAATTCCCTTTTTACTGGATTACCTAAAAGAAAATTACAGCTAGTCCAGAACGCTGCGGCCAGAATCCTAATGAAGACAAAGAAAATGAATCACATTACCCTCCCTGTTTCAGACGCCGTGCTGGATACCTGTATCTGATTTTACTTGTTTATAAAGCTTTGAATGACCTTACACCTCCTTACAACATAGATCGTCTTTCATTTTATGCTCCAGATCACTAAGGTCCTTCACACCTTTTCTTTTAACTGTTCCATATGTGTCCCATAAAGTTACCGGAGGGGCTGCTTTCTGTTTTTATGCCCCTAAACTGTGGAAGACGCTGCCTCTGGATATTACAATGGCCAGCTGGATCAGTGTTTTTAAAAGGAAACTCAAGACATATCTTTTTAATCAGGCTTTTAATTTGGAATAATATTATAGCCTTAACCACTGGTTTTCATCGTTATTTTTTATCCCTTCTGTTTATTTTATTTTATTGAGTTTTATTGCTTTTTTAATTTTATTGGTTTGTATGAAAGGTGTTGTATAAATAAAGCTGAGTTGAACTGAGTTGAGTTAAAACGAAACATGAAGTATTCAGGTTTCAGTCTGTGAAAGTGAACTGGATCACCAAAGGTCACTGACCTGATGTCACAGGCGAGCAGAACATCTGTATTTCTGAGCTTTTACTTTCTTTGACTCGTAGCCTGTGCTGCCTGCCGTTGTGCCAAGTTCATACGTTCATTGTTAGCGTCGCCCTGCAGCCCACTGCTTCTATAGAAGACTCTCTAACAGTATAGAGGCTTTGTTCATCAGCACTCTGGTCACATATGTTTGTTCTCTGTGGCCTTGGCACTGGGATCTGAGTCTGTGAAGTGTCTGCCAGACCCCTAAGGACACTGATAAGCCCCCATAACATTCATTCCCCAGTTCCCGCTTGTGTGTGTGTGTGTGTGTGTGTGAGAGAGAGAGAGAGAGAGAGAGAGAGACAGGGCGACTCAACGACTGAGATAGAACGAGCGCGGGTGTGTTTGACAGAAAGGGGCAGAGAGTGTGTATGTGTGTGTGTGTGAACTAGGCCAGGCTGATAACAGTGTGGCAAGTGAGGGAGGCGCTGATAAGCCCTTCTTGTTGCTTGGGGTAACCAGGCCTTGTTAAATGAACACAGTGAAATATGGTGTGTGTGTGTGTGTGTGTGTGTGTGTGTGTGTGTGTGTGTGTGTGTGTGTGTGTGTGTGTGTGTGTGTGTGTGTGTGTGCATGCGTGCGTGTAGAGGAGAGGAGGAGATTGAGAATCGGGGAATGGTGGAGGAGGTCACAACACACCTCTTTTTATTACAACAAGCCTGGTGTGCACACATGTGTGTGGATTAGCTGTTATTTACAGTAAATCATATACTTATATATATATTTTTTTTAATAAACATTTTTTGGCAGAGTGTTTAAAAAGTATCAAACAGCCACGCTCTCTGAAAAAATACTTTCACTTTCCCTTCAGCACATGTCATGCAACACACAGAGACACACGAAGAGCTAACAGCGTTTTCCTTTGTAGTAGTAAGTATTTCTTTTACTATAAAGAGTCGTAGGTCTGGTAAATGGAATACGAAGCTTTAGGCTTACCTTGTGTTTACAGCATGTGTCTGTATGTGGCAAAGCAGCAACTGCCTGGAGGATCCAAGAGAGAAACGGAAATTGTTCTCATCCCTTCTGGCAAACACAAAACCTTCATGTGTTTACAGACCTGACCTGGGATCAGTTTCCTGTCGCAGATTTCCAGTCACCAGGGGAAGTGCCAGACAGACTTAAGATCAGTGCAGATCTTGTTGATTTTTTTTTTTTTTCTTGTTGCCTTCAGTCCTTGTCAGTTCTTGCTTCCTCTTCTCCTTTCCAGAGAACTGCCCCCCTTGTGAGTTTTGATTGGTTACCTGTGTTGTGAGTCAAGGTAACCCATAGTGACCATTGTCAGTGTGGAGCAAATGTAAACACGGGTGTATTTGCAATGTAAAGCAGCAGAGAGGCAAGCAGCCGATCTGCAAACAGCCCAGTGGTTTATATGAGGGTGGACAGCCAACGGACGTGTCTGATGATCTCACTAAATATCATATTAAATCATAAGGACTTCAACTGAGCTGAATAGGATTCTCATGGTTATGAAGCTCTATTTGACACCTACAGTTAATTTTAACATATTAGGCTATAGATATAGGCTGAGACATAAAATATACACAATATAAGCTACACAAAAAGACTAAAAAGGCTTTGAGACAGGCGCACGGGCAGATAAACACATACAGTAGAACATAAGTTTATCCTTTCTCCAGTCCCTGATGCTCCCTAGTGGCAAAACTTTGCACCGACACCCTTCACAACAAGTCTGATCCAAACCCTCATTGACTTCCCTTGCTCTCTCGTTTTTTTTTAGTAAACAATAAATGGATGAGAGCTCATATGACCGTCCATCCAGAGTGACGTTCAGGGACACTCGGGGTCTCTTGCACTTGCTATTTGATCAATGTCCCCAGAACCGTTGTTAACGGGGGTCCTCTGCAGACTGCCCCTGCTCTACTGGTTGCATGACCACCGAT